GCTGCGTCATAATCTGTTAATGCTAATATTTCGTTAATTTTGCCATTCACTTCATCAAGGCGATGTTCTCGCTCTGATGATGAACGGCTTGCAAAGTTCATAAAACATTGGCAATAACCCGCTTCTTCTGACATCTCTGAAAAATTCTTACAATTTTATTTTGCAAATTGCGTAGTTTAAATAATAGTGACTGTGTTATTACAGAAAAAGATTTCTTTGATTTAAATAAATCAATTTGAAATCATGATTTGAATGTCATTTCTTTGAATTGAACAAATTTCTTTAAATCAAATAAATTTTATTTGATTTTAAAAAATAATTAAATCAAAGAAATGACGTTCACAATCAAAGAATTTTTTTTAATTAAACGCAAGGAAACATTATAGCAAGGAAACATTTCTTTAAATTGAAGAAACCTTTCTCTGGTGTAACATCGTTTTATATATTTATTAGAGGTGTGCGAGAATCCAAATAGAACGGGATTAAAAACAAAAATTAATGAGAATTGGATCGCAGCATCGGGTCGACAGAGTCGGGATTCCCGAAGTCGAGATTCTTGAAAGAATCGAAATTCCCGATGGATTCAATATTCTCGAGTCTGTCGCTTTTCCTGAAAATTCCATTACGTTTCGAGACTCGTTTCAATAAACTCTTTCGAATTTTCGATTTTTTTTCACGCCTTTTCGAAAGTAGCAATCGGGTTGTCGAAATTTTTGGGAATATAAATTTTTTCGAGAATCTCGACTTTGTCGAGAATTGTCGCACACCTTTAATGTTTATAATTTCTTAAATCAATTTTGTTTATATCTTTTCTTTTTATTTATTTTTTTTTTGTGTGATTTTGAATATAAAATAAGAGATGCAGCGTAAATCGGCATATTTAAATCAATCTTAAATATAAGAATCTACTGAAAAGAGAATAGTATATAAGCTAACATAATTTTTATAATGTTGTATAGTATCAAATATTATAATCCTGTCGAAGCTGAAAGCAATCAGATATTTATAGAAAAACTTTAAAAAAAAAGGAACTATTGCGTTACATGTTTGCATTCAATATACATGTAGAACGGCATACAAAATATGAATATAAATCAACAAAAAACATTTTATATCGAAGTAAAAACAATTCTAAAAAAAATCTTATATACATTCACTTGTAAATATTTTGTACAGATGACTTTTATAAAAGGAAAAGAATAGGAATACTTACGTGGCATTACCTATACGTATTAATTTGAGATCCATTTGCGCTTATTTTACGAAAAAATTAATTATTGAAAAATTGCAAATAGTATTATAAAAACTGCTATATTATCTAATAAGTAAACACTTTCTAGTTTGTATTTATATTTCTAAAGTTTTATTTTTATTTTTATTTTTTATTTAAGAAATATTACCTAAAAGATGGTATCTGGGTATTAGTGACCTTTCTCTATACTAATTATTTATACCAAGATAACATTTACAATGAGAAAAAAATACAATGAGAAAAATATATTGTTTTTAATATAATATAATCATAATCTGAAATCTGGATGACCTCAGACAGATGTGCTACTTGTGCACTGCAAAGTTACAAATAAAACAAACAGACGCCCCAAATAAATTTTAAAAATTAATTCTTCATTTTTGACACCAATTCCGTATGTTAATTTTTTTGTTATATTTAATTTCTTTCAACATTGTGTACTGTATTCATAGATATTATAAAATTTATAGATATTATAAAATCTGAAATCATTGGTTGGAACGAATATTTATTTATTTTCCGGTATTACAAAAATCTTTCAGTATATGAATCCACCAAATCATTTTAACATCAGGATCATACTATTTTTCTACTGAAACATGAAAAGGGAAAAATTTCTTTATCAACTTCATAGAAAAAATTGTCACTTTTACATTTCTGTCTTTTAAGAAAAAAATCACATGTTCAATATAATACTAAATATAAAAAATTATGCCGTCTCTAAAGATATTAAAAAAGAAATATTTTTTTTTAATAATTTGTTTAAAAAAATATAGTGAATAAAAAATATTAAAAATATTTAAAAATATTAAAACGCGACAATTCCTTTTGCCACAAAGGTGCCTTATATCAAGATGAATTATAACTTAATCATTGATACATTTGCATAATTGACTTTCGATTTATCATTTTTTATATAATACTTGTATCCATGACTTATTGTATTCTTGGTTACATAACATGCAGGTCGCACAAAGTTTAGTGAATTTCAACTTTCGCATCCTGCTTCCTGTGTCTTGCGACCTGCATCTTGCAATCGGAAATATGTTGCACAGATCATGACATATTTCCATATAGGCTACATCTAATCTTGCTATCTACGTTCAGTATGTTCTATAAATCCAGCTTAAAACATAAATATGATAAGCGACGTGTACTGCGAAAGAAATAATATGATTGGAAATCAAAAATCAATCATATAAATGCGTTAATGATCAAATGACATTAAAAATTGCAAAATACGTCTACACGTTTCGTAAAAATTAACAATCACAAAAGGAAATTGTATTTAAATATAATTAGTATTTAAGTAAAGTTCAGTCATTGCATATTTTAATTTAAATATGTGATTTGAATACGTATAAATTTTTACGTATAAATTTACACAAATCGTGATAGAACACATTCAGGACAATAGGATAACTCCGGTATATACCTCGCATCTATCAAAAACTTAATTTATTAAGTATTATTTATTATATTTATAGTAAACTATATCAGTAAAAGCTTTGTCTGTCTAGTATTATGAAAAAATAGTAGAAATCCGAAATATTTATTTTTCATATTAAAAAATAAACTTTTTGAAATCCTTGCATTTTTATCATATATCCCATAGAGGTGGGACATATGGCTCATAAGGGGAGGAGGATGTACGGCTCATGAAAAATTTATAAATAGTGCTTATAAATAAGAATGTATAATGATACAATAACTTATAAAATGTGTTTATAAAGTTTTATTAAGGAATAAGAATGGTAAATATATATATGAAGTAATAAATAATAATTACAATTTTCCTACATATTACAAGTGTTATGACATAAGGTACATATTTCATATAATGTGTTTATTGCAATTAGTGCATGCTGAATTCAATCTGCGCACTTTGTATGTTTTGGACATATATGTAAATCCCGCTCGCTAAAAATGCTGTATATTTCAAACAGGGAGACAAGACAACAAATTAAACAAAGAATACGAAAGTAAAGCACTTGTATTTTGTTACACAACATACTTTACTATTCCACTACACGTATGTATCATAAAATAACTACTAAATCTTCTGCATGCATGTAATCATTTTATGTAAATTTATGATTTAGAATTATAATTTATGATGGCATTATTTATTACAGTGACAAATTGATTCAACTTATAATAATTTCATTAGTATTAACAACAAGAAGTTGAAATCATAACACAATACTAATATATGTATATATATATGTATATATATACATAATATGTAATAAAGTAGTTGCGGGAAAATTACCTCCACTCTTTCTATTTTTTCCGACTTCTGCGGCGTAAATTCCGGTGCGGCGTATTTGCCGGAATTACCCTATTTTTTATTAACATAAAAAAATATATCGTCGTACATTGATATAATCTTTACGAAAGATAAGATTAGATAAGATTAATAGCATTCATAAAGAATAAAAAATAAGGAATCAACTTATTGTCAAATATATTGTATGCATATCATGACTTATTTTTGACAAAAATTAGATAATCATTCTTAATAAGCATGCAAAATACACAAAATGTACTTGATTAGAAAATCTTGGTCACTAAAATCTAGTATTATTATGTAAATACAAAACAATTTATTCAAAAGTAATTAGATTAATTTAATTTATTTAATTTATTCAATTTATGAATTAATTTTTGTTCATTAGTTTTTATACATAAAACAAAGTATACGTTTAACTTAACTTTCAGTTAGTCAGTGAAAATATACATGCTGTTAAACAAATTAATCTGGGACTGTGGTAGTACTTCGCGAGACTAATTAAAAATTAATTTTTTAAAATAATTTTCAATTAAATATTAAAAAAAATTTACTTTCTTCCTAAACATGCTTTTACGCAAAAAAAGATATCTTTGATATCAATATGTTACACTTAAAAAATTAATTTGTCGAAACTATAATTCAACATTTTTAGAAATTATCATGATACAAATATAAAAATAAAAGTAAAAAAAAATAAAAATAAAATATTTTTTTATCAATATTTCGTCAATGCTGCATTATAATTAACTATTGGAACAATTAGTTTTCTGATTTACAAAAAAAATCAAGAATAAAATAATTAACCCAAGTAGAACAAAAGCGTTGAGAAACGATGATTAAAAAAATGTTTTTCCATAACGATTACAAGTGTCCATGAAGAATAATGTTTCATGCATAATCAGCTCATAATAAACGACATAAAATTTTTTGAAAATATCTTCTTTTAAATTGAGTATTGTGGAATTTTCTAAAAATATTATAGACATAAATATACATTACGCTTCAATATTGTATTTTCTTTCTGACAAAGCATAGATAATAAGATCAGTAGAAACAGAGAATGAGCAATCACTTATTATATCTATGAAAAATACTTTCTTTTAAAAATAAACAAGTTTCAAGAAATAATATTAAATTAATATTAAATTAAAATGTACACGTATTATTCCAAACTCGATTGGAATTTTCTTGTAATAAATCGGAGATCGCAAAACCACAAATTGAATAAAAAATAATTCCAATATTATGTACATCCAATTGCCATATATATTTTCTTTAAATATTCTGTAATTATTCTGTAAATGAGTATCAATCAATTGTAATTTAATTGCTACCATTATACTTTGTGCGCAAATCGTAAATTTGCATTGATATACCTCTGTATTTTTTTATATGACAGCTATGATTATAGGCACTCAACTCAGGAGGAATTTGGACGAATTAGTTGAGGTGGGGAGTAACAAAACCATATAAACACATAAACGAACAAAGCGTCTTCACTCTCCTTTCTTTCTCCATGGGGATAGTTAAAGCGCGATGGAATATGGGTAACCTGCTCATGGAAGTGTTCGATCGTAAGAGATATAAGGCCCCGTGATGGTCGTGCGGCCTCAGTTTGTCGACTGGTGCTTCGCGAAATAGGTTTCACACCCAACATTCTCGTGCTTCGATATAATCCTTTTATCGATATAGTTTTTCTTCTCTTTCTTCTCTTTTCGAAAACGTTGCGGTACATGGTCACACTCGCAAATTCAGTTCCGTCTTTACAGAAACTTCTGCACGCGTTTATTTCTCTGGGAAGATTTCATAACAACAGAAGCACGTGAAGAGTAGCACAGTAAGTATTAACATAATTTTACATGCATTGCGTGCAAATTGTTGTTATCATCAAATATTTATGCAATTCTTTATCTATAAAAACAGTTCAGTTAGATCTATATTAGAAAATTATTAGTTTGTAGTTGAATGATTTGCTGAAATACCTAAAAGTTTAACTGGATACAGATCTGAAAATAATTTTGTTGAGTCATCAAAATTGTAGAAAATTCAAACACTGAATAATGCAAAAAAGTTTGACATTCTAGCAACTAGATTGAGTATAATTATTATGATTATTCAACAAAATTATTTCGAAACTGTATTTAATTAAATTTTTAGACATTTCAAAAATCTTTCCATATATCAATATATTCCTTGCGACATAGATCATAATTGCAACTGTTATCTTTTTATTTATAAATTGTAAGATTAGATAAGATACTTGATGAAAGATTTTAGCAAAATATTAATATTAATATTATAAATATTAAAATATTAATATTATTATTATGTAGCAAGATCGATATGAGATCAAATTAATGCAAACATGCATAATAATATTATGTTTAATTCATCATATGATATTCAAATTATGCAAATAAATAATAAATTATTTTTGAATGTATTATTTATATATTGAATTTGTGTGTGTGTAATGCGAATGCTGTAAAGATCTTCGGCTCTGATGACAAACTGTTTTATTTGCATTTTCGCTTATATAAGGCGTAATAAAAAGTAAATAAAATGATTCACACAACACACTTTATATCTAAGGAATGTCTTAGCATGTTTTTAAAACATAGGAAAATTCTTTGAGTATCTATAGAACGTTTCTTGAAATTATATGCTGTAATATTATACTTGGAAAAAATTGCATTGACTGTAAGAGATTACATTTTTACAGGTCTCTTTAGGATTAATATTTCCAGCATTATTTTCAAAACAATTATTTCAAAACAATTATTTATAAATATATAAGAAAATATTTTTTTTCTTATTGTAAGTTGTACGAGATTGGATTATGTATTATATTTAAAAAATACGGAAATAATATAGTTTTTGTCAAAGTATCATATGTGTGCTTTCTTTCATTCTCCAACAAGTTAATGCAATTCTTTGTAAGGTTTGAGAAAATTAATCCAATGAGCTGTAATTCCCAAATAATTTCTACGGAGAATTAAAATTTTAATTAAAGAAACATAAAAAAACATTTGTAATAAAATTAAAATATTTAAAAAATGTGTTAATACCTTTTCGCTTTTGTTCGATATCTTTGTGATTCATGACCTCTAATTATGGCCTCTATGAAATCGCATCTATGAAAAATCGATGAATCGAGATGTCGATTGCTAAACGATGCATGCGTCACACGTAATCGATTAAAAAAAATAATATCAGATCGTGGCAACAAAACAAACTGTTGTTTTTGTCTTCTGCACGCGACTCGTCTCGTGAAAGGTCATCGCCGTACTACCGCTACGATCCTTTCATATCTGCTGTAAACATGTTCGCCCGCGCTCGAAGCCTGTTCAATAAAATTTGAAAAGCAGAGAAATTCGCATTTTTTTGACCGAGTAGTTTTTTTCCTCGACGTAGCAATTCCGCGGGAAACGCTCGGACGGTGATCGCCTGGTCACGCCATTACGATTTTCGTGCGCTCAACAAGATCGCCAACAGCTTTATTTTATAAATTTACTGTAGTTGATACAATTTTAATTTCAGTTAACTTATCTACTGTAACATTTTTCGTTTTTAGATATTCTTTTCTTATTGTAAGTTATACGTATAGATGTATGAGTCAATATTGTTAATATTATATATAATTGTAATCCCGAGTGGAAATAAAGTATTCAATTCAATATTTATTTTTTTATTGATAAAGTTAATATAAATAAAGCGCTTATATAAAAAAAAATCATATTTAAAAAATAAATATAATTTAATATTAAACAAAAAATCAACATAAAAAACTTTGCATTTACAATATAAAAAATGTGGAAGCGTTGTAATTCATGAAAGAATGGAATTTTCCGTGAAGTCTTAGAACTTATGTAATCCATTTTTCAATGTAAATCCATTTTTGCTATTAGGTGTGGGAAACACCTAATATGAATTGTGGCATTTTTTTAATGCCATCTAACGGGAAAAACGCCACGAACTTTTTTTCACACCTAATATTTATTAAATTTATACACTAACAAGGTTAATTAGATCACATAAAAATTAAATAGGTTAGAGATCTCACATTTTATTTATTAATTATCAGTGGCATATTTGGCTAATCATAGTAATTATCCACTGATTTAGATTTAGAGAGTACGTGCGCAAAAAATTAAATACTGATATTTTATATATATATATATATAATCTTTAATTGAATCGCATATAGTTAAAAATAAGTAACAAAAATGAGTGTGATCAATGAATTTCTTCATGTATTCAGTATTGTATTATTATTCATATCAAAGACATAAAGAAAGACATGACTTCGTAATTCGTGTGTTTACAACAATTGATCTAAAAAATGAGAGAGATAGGATGCGAAGGAAGATGTAAAGCTCTAGAGGTACCAGAGTAGGACAAAGGTCCGTCATGTTTGATTTAATAACTTAGAGTACGGTTAATATGATGTTGCAAACGTTTTGAAGCGTTTTTTAATTGAATCAGTTTGTAAAATTCTTTCTTCTAATTGGTCCATCAAACGCTTCAAAGCATTTGTAGACTTTGACCACAGCCTTAATATCATATTAAAGAATTAATAAGCTTATTTATTTATTTATTTATATCATTGATTAAGTTTACTTATTACTTATTGAATGAGATAAATCATAAATTATCAGGTAAAAAATAGCTGTCAAAATAATCAATAGAAAAGTGTCCGCATTCGGTTAGATCAAAAAATTGCGCTACTTTGTAAGTAGATATATTTAGAGCTCTAGCGAAGACAGCCAATCTTTCTATTCAACGATATAATGACGTTAGAAAAAGATGGAAATTAGTGGTCTCTCCTTCTTTCATTTTTATATACTATTTAGATACTATTTTATATATTTAGATACAGATGACAAAATCCATGCACTATAATTTATATTAATAATGCTGATCCTTAATTTTCTCTCTCTCTCTCTCTCTCTCTCTCTCTCTC